CACCGCGACACGAAATTTAGAGCTATATGAAAGTTGCATGCCATAGGGCTCTCATTTTTAAGGAAATTTCCTTAAACTGAGGAAATTTTGACCTTTTTAAGGGGACTTCTAAGGAAATAGAATTTTTAAGGAATTTTTAAGAAATGCCCCCCCAATTATTTTTTGCCCCCCCCCCCATTTTGCCCCACCTCAAAAAAAATTATTAGTCACTAAGAGCGACTAAAGGCTGCACAAGCGTTCTGTCGTTATCGAAAAATGTATGGCTTATAAGTTGTCATTACTCATTAGTGAATGTGAAACTGTTTTTACAGTTTCAATATTAGTTTGTAAATCTCCGAATGGTAAAACTTGCCAATACTCCAATAATACGTTTCAAAAAAAGACAGAAAAGCTTTAGTTTTGCAGAGTTAAATTCTCAAACGTGTAAGGCAATAATAAGATGAAAGTATCACGAAATTATTTGAATAAACCACATCGCATATATGGGGGGCGAATGTCCTAAAAAGGGGCGATATTCCTAGAGTATTCGCCCCACCCCCTGGGAGGCGATATTCCTAGGATATTCGCCCCCAGGGGGAATATTCCTGGGAATATCGCCACGTTTTGAGGGGGGGCGAATTTCCTGGTGGGGCGACCTTTTTAAAAATTCTATCTTGCCCCCCCCCCCAAATTTGAGTTTGCCCCTCAAATGCCCCCCAAATTTGGAAGCCTGGCGCCGCCACTGCGCATTTCGCCGAGAAAAAACGCTCGTGGAATCAGGCCTTTACTGGATTGATGTTGCATTCTCGGAATCACATTTTTACAGCAATTGTGCGAAATTGTGCTAGTTGAAATTATATGCCTGCTTCAGATATAATATTTACATTTAACCAGTGACTTCTAAATTAAGAGGACGAGAACCATTTATATCCCGAATCACGGCAACTGATTACAATCATACAAAAATGTTTCTTTTTATCTGGAGCTAAATATCTGCTATTCATACAGTTCATTACTTTTAAGAACAATTTAAAGAAAATAATTAATTAAGGCTGTAAAATGTATGGATTCAAAGACGTGGGATTAGACGTCTGTACATGGAGTCATGAGCTAATAATAGTTTCTGACATTTAAAACAACAGGGCTACGTTTATACTATACTTTGTTTTTATAGTTTAGCCAAGTTTCAGAGGCCTCCATTAAATAACAGTCAAGATATACACGCAAATATAATTTTCTTGTCTATATTTAAAATTTGTAATTGTTTCGTGAAGATTCAACCATAAAACAATTGCCGGAAATGCAAGCCCTGATTATAAAAACTCGGGGAAAACCCGTGCGGTATGAAATGCGTGGCGTAAACATGTCAATCAAATATCATTCTAGAAATATGACGTTTTATATTTGCACAGTACATCGTGTACGTTTTTGTTGTAGAACTTGTGTTGTTCAAATCGAATATGAAGTAAATTCAGGAGCATACTGTCACAGGCTAATTTTGTATTTTAATACCCTCTGGAAATACCAAGGCTTTGGTACCCCTATCTATCACAAAATGTAACAAATCCAAAACAAAGTATGAGGACTAATATTTTTCCTATCATTTGACAGATTAAAAGTATTATTCAAGAAATATGTCCATTTTAATCATAACGTGATACAAAAATACTAAATAACATGCAAAATTCAGTGCCAAAGAGGGATTTATTTTGCGGTAGTTAAATTAAATATGTAAACATAATATGTTCTCAAACTAGCAGAGTTTAATACCAATTGGCAATTAAAGCTCGCAATGCTATATATTTGGTTTGATACGAAGATAAAATAGTAAATACTCATAATAATTACAATATGTCCATGACCTAATTACTCAAAAATTTAGATTATTAAATCATATAATGGAACAACTTGCAATTTGCTACGCTCACTCGTTAGCAATATTCTCTTCAACACTCGAAATAAATTACATATTTCCGCACAACCATGTATAAATATTCTCTATACATTCCAGTTTACCTTTAATTTGTCAAGTGGTAGGCAAGATATTAGTCCTTTTGATTTGTTATTCTCTTGACCCAACACGGGAGTGATAGGAACTTGAAAAAATGACAGTTCCATACTTGCGTGTAATTTGCTCGGAACAATTTGCAATCAACATTGCAAGATTGATTGCAATGTTGCAATACTCATGGGAACCGAACATCCGGTTTGACTGTAAGAGTTATATCAGTGCAAGACTGCTATAGAAAAAGATTTTATCAAAATAAAGTCAGGATGAAGTCTATTATTAATACCACGATTACTAATACTACTCTTGAAAGCTTTTCGAAAGACGCCATCTTGTTTTAAAGCTGTTCTAGCCTGCGAACAGGTCTTCAAAACAAGGCTGATAGCAATATATCTGCGCTACGCGCAGATACAAAAAGTTATACTTACATATTTTCGCGCCAATTGCGCCTATGATCGCGCGCCACTGGAGTGTTCCTCAGAGACTAGGCCAAGTCATAGCCAAGTCTAAGGAAATTTTTGTCCATTTAAGGAATTTTTACCGCCCTGATGCCATATATGGCATGCAACAAAAAGGGAATCAATATTACTAACTCAAGATACACTGAAATAATATGCTGTCTTGTTTAGTTGTTTCATATATGCAAAGGCCGTCGGGTTTTAAATTAAACCATTATAAAATCAATATTTAAAACAAACTTACCTTCATTAACGTCGGCTCACTTCTTTTAGCCGATTCTTTCGCCCTTTCTTTCTTGAAATTTACAAAATCTTGCAAAAGTGCGCGCGAGCGAAAATGAAATATATTTGTGATATTTGCAAGAAATTTATCAATCATCAAATCAAGAAATGTTTGCTATTTCGCTGTCGTCATGCAGTCGTTATAATGCAAACTTTAAATTGGACCAATCAGTTTTCGCTATTCATGACAGTCCGCCACATATTTTGAGATCATTGAGGATGACCACCCACCGAAACATCGTTGGTGAGCCACGCCCGCGATATTTGATGAACTTTAGACTTCGCTAATGCTTTCGTTTCCCCGGGTGTAAATAGCCGGGGGGAATTAGTACCCTCGCACGGCACTTGGCGCCGTCGGCTCGGGAATAATACTTTCGTTTGTTGTTTAAAAATATATCAAGCCATATTGACCGTGCATGACAGTAGCGGTGCCAGGGAGTAAATAATGCAATCAATGCAGCAATAAATGCATTGATCATTGCTGTTTACAGCGGTAGAAACAGCAATATATATACAGTCTACCCGCGGCACGGAACACAAACTATAAGCTATATAAGCAAGTTTAACAAGAGATCCACTTGTGCACTATAGCGATATAGCGTTAGCCTGTCACCTGTGAAACTTCCAGAATAAACTAATGCCAATCAGGTCTATAGAGCAATCGTCCCGTTTCCGTGTTCCAACTTTGAAACATGCTTACAACTTGTATATAAGTTCAGTTTTGTAAACTATTCTGCGCCAAATATATTAATTTCCGATTCAAAATACTATTCCATGACCATATTTTCTGCAATATTCAAGTAGACTTCGCTTTCCCCTGCATCGATCGGCAACAACACTAAGCAAGTTGCCAACAAAGTCTATACATGCATGCATGCATGTATGGCAAATATTCGCCCAATCTTTTGAAATAACATAACGTTTTGGGGGAAGTGCACTGAAAACTCGCAGTTGATATTGTTAGAACCTCTTGGGAAATAGTCAATTTGAATTTATACATGGAGTTACTTGAGTTTAGAAAATAAATTAACAGGCTAGCTGAATTTCGAGTATTCCCAGTAGGCGTCAGCTTCTGTCACACAATATTCAGTATATTATTCAATGATACACGGATTACTTTATATGGTATATGAACAACCAAATGGAGGTCCTAAATATAATCTCAGTTTTATCATTTTTATGCAGCTAAATAATGTTTTGAACGCTTTCTTCGTGATATATTTGCCAGTAATTAACGCATCAATGGAGACTCGACCAATGTCATTGAGAGAAACGTCGACGTTTTAAACTCATTACTTGCCACAGTTGGGCAGCTTTTTCGTGCGTTCTACCACCTGCTTATCTTAACAGCAAGAGCTGTATTAGCATATAGCTCCAGCCTCCTGCACGTTGTTGGATATGTTCATAAAACGTCAGTTCATCTCGCGCGATATATGCATTTACAGTACAACACTATCCCAAACTGGGCCATTTCGTCTATATTGTTCATTTATTAATCAATGTATCTGACTCGTTTAATTTCGGACCCATGCTTCAGTTTTTAGTTCTTAACAATGCTATATGCGTATTATTGCAATGGTGTCAATTTTTTTAGTACTACAAATATATTAACCACACGGTGCATATTAATGCACGTCTTGACTTAACTTTATATTTTTATTCCCTTTGGGCTTTTCAATTTGTAAAAAATGTCATGACTCATGATCATGCAAATTAACTCTTGCTTATTAATTACATATTCGTTCGCTCTCGTCTTTACTCGTCCGATGCGTACGAGATTAATTATGCAACCCAATCAGATTTCAGCTTTTGACCAAATCACATTTGTATACCTGCATATTCGTTCGTTCTCGTGCTACGGTGCAGGTTAACTACAAACCTCAACTGTTCGGGCAATATGGGAAAATGCCCAACCTCGTTCGTCAACCTCGGTCATTAACCTCGCTACCGCTCGGTTAATACAGCAAGACCTCATGCAGTTGGATATTTCCCCGTACTGCCCTCACTCTCGGTCAGTAAGTTATTATTACTGACCGAGAGTGAGGGCAGTACGGAAAAATATCCAAACGAGGATTGCTGTCAAGACTGAGGGGGTGCAAAGCTTTTGTGCATTTGCGGGTTCAGCGAAGTGACTCAAAACTCAAACTCTAACAATACGTTTTTTCAATAGTTTTGATATTTTGGGAACACCCTGCATGCATAGACATATGCAACAAATCCCAGCCAAAATATGGAAATCCGGTGAAGCAATGTGATAAAGAAATGTGACTTACCCATGGCTAGGATCAACAACAATAGCTCTGGGTTTATCTAAATTTTCCCAAAATAACACAGAACGTTGCGTGCCATCAAAATTCACAACTTCGATTAATTTCAAGTGTGAGTCAGTCCAATAAATCTTCTTGGTGACCCAATCAATCGCAATTCCTTCGGGTCGGATTAAACCAACAGATACAACTGTTTCAACTTTACTGTCATTGTTTATAGATTTGCGTAATATCTTTCCCAAGGAAACGTCAGTCCAGAATAAGATTTGATCTTGATAATGAAATGCGACGGCTATCGCATCCTTTAAGTTCTTCGCTAGTACAGTAGTTGTAAAATTGTTTTGACTACGTCGGTCCCCATCAACATGCAACAAACGAATATTCCTTCTCTCTGAGTATAAAAGCCTGAGCGGTTCAACTATAAACGAAGATTAACGTAATGTAGCTGATTAGCAATTTTTCGACTATTTTAATTTATAATCCCAAAACGAGCTCAGAAATATAATACTTTTCAAAACAATGGCTACAAGTACAGCTTACAAGCGCACTAACTCATCAATATTTTCGCATGATACATATATCTGTAAATAGATAGTTTCACAAAACATTATATGGCTGACTGTAAACTTAGGGCCTGTTCATATGGGCAAAAGTTATCCCGGTTAACGAAAGAAATTTTCGACTAGCCAAATACTTTTATTCTGTTCATATGGAGAAATAATATCCCACTTACTGGGAAAAGTTTCCGGCTGTGACGTAGCACTGAACATCAATTGAATTGCTGACACGACAAAAAGTTATCCCGCTAAGCGGGAAAGTTGTGTTCATATGGGGAAAACATTATCCCGGTCATCGAGATCTCGCCCGTCAACAAGCGAGATCTCGGTACACGGGAAAACTTTTCGTCTCATATGAACGCAATGAACTTTTCATATTATTTACGTAACAAGGCGAGATCTCTCTCGTAAACTTGTCGAAAAGTTTTCTCGCTAACCGGGATAACTTCTGCCCATATGAACAGGCCCTAAATAGGATATAATTATGCACTTAATGCAGGGCCTTTTTTAAGGATTTTCCCGTGGGGGGGGGGGCATTTTTTGAAAAGAGACTTTTCTGTGAGATAATATATTAGAGGGGGATAGCAATGGCTGAAGGCTACGTGTGTGGCCAATATACCACGCATGAATGGGGGGTGGTCTGGGGGAGTACTCCCCCAGAAACTTTTTGAAATTTGAATCCCGGAAATGTCATTTCCTGCATTCTGAGCATCCAAATTTGATCCAAAATTTATGCTAACTATACTTGTATTTGAAATAAATAAAGGAAAAATCGCACAAAAAGTAAAAAAAAATTAACCATCATTTATCGTTACTTATATTTAGAGGAGGATGGCAATGGTCAGGTGTGTGGTGGTGTACTCCCCCAGAAAATTTTTGAAATTTGAAGCACGGAAATGCCATTTTCTGCATTCTGAGCATCCAAATTTGCTCTGAAATTTATGCTAACTATACTTGTATTTGAAATAAAAGATGGACAAAATGCACAAGAAGTAAAAAAGAATATTAACTGTAATTTATCATTACTTATTAGAGGGATAATCCCCAGAAAAATTTTGAAATTTGAAACCCGGAAATGCTATTTCCTGCATTCTGAGCATCCAAAAAATAAAAAATTATTAACAATAATTTATCATGACTTAGTGTTAGAAAAAAGTAACAATTTAAATCGATTTTGTTAAACACGGACAAAGGATAAAGCCTAAAACTTACTTTCCGTTTATGTATTTGTTAATCTTCGCTGGTTTGTTTTTGTGATTTTAGGGAAAAGGGACTTTTCCTGGGGGGGCAAATGTGATTTCGTGGGGGGGCACAAGGGGGGACTGGGGGGCAAATGCCCCCCCCCCAGCTTGTATGTTAAAAAAGGCCCTGACTTAATGTCTGGTCCCGAGGGAAATAGTTTGTTCTGTTTTCCCGAGAGTCTCAATGTTTCCCGAGACCAAGTCGAGGGAAACATTGAGACTCGACGGAAAACAAAACTAACTATTTCCCGAGGGAACAGACATTAAGCGTTTCGTTATATAGCGACGAACAAAAATCAACATTGTCATATTCGCGATCGATCGGTGGACGAAATCTATTTGTCGACGGCCCCTACCATAAACGAGTTCAAAATTAAAAGAACCTACTTGAACGGTTTCGGCAGCATATCCTGTTGCCTGTTGTGTATTTTTCTTCTATTTTACATTCTTTATTTGAGCACAGTCATGGAAAATCGTAGTTTCTGATTAATGCTAGTTGTGCCGCCATTTTGTTTATTTATGTAAGTAGCCGGTCGGGGCGGGCAACAATTTTTCACTTGTTGCCCGGCGGGATACATTGCACTTATCTAAAGTCACGTGGCCACAAATCAGCCAATCACGTTTGGTGTTCACTCTAGCTATATTTATCACTTATTTACTGAGACCGAGGGAATTAGAGAAACAGTGTGTTTTGTTGACCCGAGACCGCCGTTATTGCCCGAAGCGAACAACAGCGGTCGAGGGGACACAAAACACACTGAGTTCTCAGCAAGTAAGTGTTTTGTTATATAGTATATAAGTGTCAAAGTATGAATAATTCACGGTTTATTCGAGTGAACTTAATTTGAAACCAAAACTGGACAAATGGAACGCCGTAAATGTTTAATAAAAAGTTTAAAAAATGAACTTTGGAACTTCGTGGTTGACGCGCATGTGCATTGCACCCATGCTACTGTTGACCGGTCAATAAATGTTTCATTGTGAACCGGTTGCCTCCTCGCCAAAGCATGCAGTGAACATGACGTTTTGTTGACCGGCACGTGATACGGATTTGACCAATCGGCAAACAGAAAAATTGAGCTTTGACACTAACTACAGTATATAACAAAACAATTTGTCTTTAAATCTTGTTTTGAGCCGGGACGAAAATTGAGGGGCTATTTATATGGTTCCGCTTACACACGTAGAAACGCACCAGTTGTTACAGATCTGCAAACAAGTTGTTACAAATCTGTTCACAAGCTGTCGACAAGTTGTGTTCGCACTGCTTGTTCCCAGCTGTTATAACAAGATTGGAACAAGCTGTTAACAACTTGGAACAAGCTTGATGGTATTATCAGACTTGTTACAAGGTTGTTCTAACAAGTCTGATACAATCTCGATATAGCAAGAATGTTACAAGGTTGACGACACAAGATTGTAACAATATTGTTATATCATGACTGTATCGGACATGTTAGAACAACCCTGCCACAAGTCGGATAATGTCCTCAAGCTTGTTACAAGTTGTTAACGCTTGTTCCAAACTTGTTGACAACTTAGGACAAGCAGTGCGAACACAACTAATTGTAGTTGACGGCTTGTTAGCAAACTTGCTACAAGATGTGAGATTTTTACGCGTGTACCCGGGATTCAATGATGTGTGACGTATATTGAGCAATTGAAATAAGTCGCACTTCATGATCTAACAAAATTGCTTGTTACAAATTGTATGAAATTCCATGTTTGAGACAAAAAATAAATGTTGTACATTCAGATTTACTCAGGGGCTGTTTATATGGTCCCGCTTATCCGGGATTTAATGAAGTGTGATGTATTTTGAGCAATTGAAATACGTGTTTTTACGGAAGCCGTGAAGGGACTTCAGACTTCAGACTTTAGAGTTCAGACTTCGGACTTCAGACTTCGGACTTCATACGTCGGACTTCAGACTTTAAGAGCGGTTGTCTGTAATAGTCAGGTAAGACGTGTAAAATGAGAAAATTCAAAATCCTTCAAACTTTGTCAGAATATAGGCCTATATGAAGTATCAATGTTGTGAAAGTTTTATTTCGATCGGATAAATATTGAAGGAGAGAGACGTCGAAATTGGTTTTCCCAGGCCACTTTCGATTTTTAGAGGTCATTTTACGGCACTACCAAAATCGCTCTATTTTGCGCGTTAATGGGAATATTTCACAAAACATGATTACGTTTTATAAATTAGAGATATTTCTTGATTAGCAGACGAAATTTAGAGACATTTATGTGAAAAGTGAATATTTTACAGATTTTCTTAATGTTTTTTTATTTTCGAACCTCTTTATTATATGCCATATTAGGCAGCGAATATCTCCATTGTTACATCGATTCAGACAAAAATTCATAACCAGATCAAAGAAATATGTTTTCCCTTGCTATTGATCCAATAAAATTTTGGGGCAACTTAGAATTGAATTTTTAACGGATTTTTTCGTAACCCCTATTTGACCCGAATAACCGTATGTTAATATAATCAGCGTCGAGTCATGTAGTTCAATAAATAACCAAAGAGCTCGTCAAAAGCGTTTATTTCTTCGAGTAAACAAGCCTAGGCCTATAAAACTACCTTAGCTAAAGCTGTACGATTGCCTGAAAGCATTTAGGTCTAAATCACACTGTTTACAGTCGCTTATTGTTCAGGTAATGCCCGATAGCCGTTGCCGCTGATTTGGCAGATTTGGTTTCAATTATATTTTATCAGAGATATGCCGCGATAAGTATAGCGAGTATATTTTCTCTCCCCCTCCCATAAACT